TGGTGAATCTTGGGACTCAGCAAAGAAGAATAACCTTAGTTGCCTGTGCTACACAGATGTGCTTTGTCCTTATCCTTGCAGGCACAGAGTGTTTGCTCCTGGCAGTGATGGCCTATGACCGCTACGTGGCTATTTGTAACTGTCTGCACTATCCTCTGGTCATGAACCACAGGGTCTGTATCCAGTTGGTGACTGGCTCCTGGATGATTGGAATCCCAATTCAGATAGGGCAGACTTATCAGATTTTCTCAACGCCTTTTTGTGGATCTAACCAAATCAACCATTTCTTCTGTGATGTCCCCCCAGTATTCAAGCTGGCCTGCAGGGACATCTTTGTGAATGAGATATTGCTCTGTGTAGTTATCGTGTTCATTGGCATAATTCCATTTCTGTTGATCCTTGGCTCCTACAGTAAAATCATCTCCACCATCCTGAAGTTGCCATCAGCCACAAGCAGGGCCAAAGCCTTCTCCACCTGCTCTTCCCATCTGATGGTTGTACTGTTGTTCTTTGGCTCAGTCATCATTACATACCTAAGACCCGATACTAGTCACTCAGAGAGAACTGGCAAAGTGCTTTCTCTTTTCTACACTATCCTAACTCCTATGTTTAATCCCACGATATATAGTTTAAGAAACAAAGATGTCATAGTGGCACTGAGAAAACTACTATGTAAATAATTCACATCACTGAAGAATAAGTTAAATGTATAAAATTAATTTTATCGTGTATTTTGAATACAATTTCAACAGATGTATACCCTTTATTATATTCTTTCTTTCCATACAGTCATAATTATTTCCAAATTAAAAATTACTTGAATGTTGTAAGACCTTTCTTTTCCACTTATATAAGCAATATCTGTGTTCCACTGCCACTGAGTTGATTCCAACTCATGGTGACACCCTTTGCATTCCAAGTCTGTAAATCTTCACAGAAGCAGATTGCCTCATCTTCTGGGTGCAGAGTAACTAGTGGGTTTGAACCTCTGACCTACTGGGTAACTTCCAAATGTCTTATCCACTATGCCATCAGAGCTCCTTAATATATGTATCAGCATTTAAAATCAGTTTTAAATTCTAGAACTTTTGCAGAGGCTGATTTAATTTAGTCTGTTGCCATGTATAATTTGTCATATCACTTACTGGAAACCATAACATCCATTTCCTTGAGAGTCCATGCAGTTGTGACACCCATTTTAAAAACCTGGTTGGCAGTATGCATTAATTAAAACTACATGCACGGTTGGCCTCACATAGCTCTCCAGAGAGACAATTCCTTATAAGGAACAGAACACCTTATAGTAAGGATGTATTTTATAATTTATTATAGTTTATCAATACCATTGAACACTAGGCATGATTTATGTGTATATCAGGTTAAATATATATTTATATAATAGAAACAAATGATTTGAGAAAATAGATATTACTATTAAATGTGTATATGTATATGTATATATATATTATACACACACACACACACACAC